CGACTACGACTACGACGACTACTACCTTAAAGCGTGCCTTTTCACAGGCTTTCAGGCGTCGCACATCCCTTTCCACATGCTGCTCATGAATTTTCACGGGTTCCTACTGCTACTCTCTCTCCTTGCATCACTTGTTTTGGGAGGGGCGGAGGGTCGGGTGCCGATTCTCAGGGAACGTCGCACTCAAACCAAGTGGGCCAAGGATGACTACGACTGGGCCATCTGCTGTGGTGTGGTGAATTCCCGCACCCAACGCCTTCTCTGCCCCATCCGTCAAATGACAACCGGGCATTCCACGTGCTGCTTTGGTTTTTTGGGCTCCAGGGCTCTTAGGCTTCGGTATGTGGCACGTGATGAGTCGAGTCTAAACGCGAAGCCCACCCGACCTCTGTGCCAGATGTTAAAATCCAATCGAGACAAAAACGATCTTGATGCAGCTGAATCCCTACCGAATAAGCCACAGCTCAACCGCAAAATCAACACTAAACTCATGACTCCTACTTAATCCTTATCCTCAAGCCCTCGCCCTGAGCATCTCGATTAGGACTGCTGGGACCGTCTCCTCAGCAAACTTTGGCTTGATGACATCGAACGGCAATCCTTGAGGGTTTAGGGGTTAGGGTTTAGGGTCTCATCCAGGGGTTGAAAGTCACTGCTTCCAGGTTTGAGGTTCGGACTGTCGCAACTCGGACACGCAGGCGAGGTTGCAGGAAGGTACGGATATACTTCGTCAGTGCTGCGGCTGCATGGTAGCAACTGTAGGCAGATACCAATGATCAGTAGGACTAGGAGTGCCACTGGTCGTTTCATCATGTTGAACTGCCAATGCTGCTATTTCTCCTGCTGCTGTTGAGATTACTGCTGTTGCTGCTTACCGCCTTCACTATCTGTCATATCGCTATCACGCTTATTTTTACTGTTGCCAGGTTTGATGCTGCTGCTAGAACAACACCTTCTGCTACTGTTACAACTGCTACTACTTGTACTTCTACTTCTACGACGATCACGACGACCCACCACCACCACTAGCACTGCCAGCACCCCTCCGCCTCCTCCTCCTCCTGCCGCTGATGTCTTTGCTTGTACTTGTGCGACGTCATTACATGCAGGAGTACATGTTGCCCGAAGAAGGTTCGTTGCAGCCCAGACTCCTAAGAGTCCTAGGATCTCTTGCCGCCGCGGGCTGCTTGAAGCCAAGACCAAGCGGCAGTTTTCCTTCATCCATGGCACCTGCCAAATTGCTGCGGAGGATTGTGCAACCGGCTCTATAGAGTCTCTAGAGCGTATACCCTCCACTTGAGAAGCATTCTCAATGACAAGCTCAAATCACTAATCTGAAATGTTTAACTTATAGATCATCATAAGATCCAGCCACCGTTGTCTACTCAGTACAAGAATTACAGCAACCGCAAGCGGAAGGTGGTCTCAACAAGGCGCTGTCGTATTGCACCCTTCCTCTTGATGGACCCTTGGGGGACCCCATCGCAATCATCGAAGCCGAACCAATGCTTCCACCAAACAAGGCAGCCTGCCTCCAGAAGAATTGAGGCCATCGGCTAAACCCTGAAGCAGACCCGACCAGAAACTGTAGAACGTTGGGCTCTCGCGCTTCTAGCTTCGGAGTCTGCATGGCTGGGTAGTTCGGAGTCTGCATGGCTGGGTAGAAATGACGAGTCTGGCTACATGAACCGACTGCCGGACCGGCTCGGGCTTTTGGAGTCTTGACAATTATATATGAACTGAATATTTGCAAGCCCACAATGTGGATCTGCAGTAGCTACAACAGAATGAACGTAGGCTCCTGCTCAAGTAAACCTCTAACCCCGATGGAGTTAAGCAGCTACTCTGCGGCAAAGCATTGAAGCTGGTGCTGCGGCACAGAGCCTTCTAGGCTGTTGACGCGCACATGGCCTCTGCAAGTTAATTCCCACATCCTCAAAGCATGCAGGATTTGGCCAAAAAACCAAACACCAAACCGGAAGGTGAAACTTGGATGCCACCCGGAGTAACCAACATCTGCAAACAGCAAAGCCGTCGAAGATGACTACAGGCAGAGGTGAAGTGGGGGTTTCCCAGAATAGGGGACCCTAATATAATACCCTAAATAATAGGATCCTTATTATAAGGACCCCAACTCAGGGGCTGAGTACCCTAGCCCAAAAAAGGTTAACCTTTTGAATTATAGTAGGATCATATAAGCCCCAAAAGGTTAAAGGTCACCTACTCAGCCCCTGAGCCAAAATAAGGTACCCCCCTATTTTCGGAAAGTCCCAAGTTTCTCTCATCTTGGAATATTGCAGTGTTTGCCTTGCTTGGGTCAGTGTCGCTTCCGAAATGCTCGCAGACGTGCGGGTTTAGGGTTTAGGGTTTAGGGTTTAGGGTTAAGACGTGCGGGTTTAGGGTTTAGGGTTTAGGGTCCCAAACCGCAAGCATGGCAACCTAAAAGACTTACATGCTGAGGTTTTTTTTTTAAAGGGCTTCATCTCAAGTTTTCCGTGTGTTAGTAAGGATCGCCTGCACGACCGGAATAGGGATTTGAGGTATGTGAGGATCCGGTGCTCAGAGCTACTTAACCCTAAACCCAAAACCCTACACCTATAGTTCTTAGGTTGCCACACGCCCAACAGACCAGAAGCACCCTCAGCCAAGCAAACCCTACAACTCCAAGCCGCAAGATTTGGACAAAGCCTTAGTAAAGTATAGTATAGTAAGTCAAGTCTAATCAAGTCCAGTATAGTATAAGATAGGGTAAGATAAGAACTATACTATACTACACTACACTATACTTTACTGTAGTAAGCTGTACTATACCACACTGTAGTAAATAGCATAGTACACTAGTTACACTAGACTATCCTATAGTATACTATAGTATACTACAGTATAGTATAATATAGTATAGTACAGTATAGAACCCTAAACCCTAAACCCTAAACCCTGGTGTAGGCCTTCCACCGAAGGGAAAGCTCTAAGCGCGACGCCCCGAGGTGGAACCCTGAGATTCCCAGTACACTTCACCTCGGCTTCGGTTCAGGGGTTTAGGGTTTAGGGTTTAGGGGTTTATTGTTTAGGGGTTTAGGGGTTTAGGGTTTGGGGTTTAAAAGTTTAGGGGTTTAGGGTTTTAGGGGTTTAGGGGTTTAGGGTTTAGGGGTTTAGGGTTTAGAAGTTAGGTTTGCAGTTTCTGTTGGTATGTTGTCAGGATCTTTTAGAGTTTTGGGTTGTTCGCCTCTCGCATGGCTTGGGGTTTAGGGGTTTAGAGTGTCAGGTCTTCTAACCCTAAACCCTAAACCGATATTCATGGAAGTTATAGGGTTTCTTTTCTGGCGTCTTGAGGTTCTAGAAGGTTTGGAAGAGCTTGAAGCGCTTACATCGTTTTGCAGGGTTGCACCGGCGCTTGTGATTTATGCTTGTGGCAGTAATGGGCTAAATGGGCTTAGGGTCTTGTGCGGTTTTGTTGGTCAAGCTTTAGGGTAGGGATCTGTATAAGTGTTGGGGGGTGAGCTCTCTTTAAAAATCTCACAACGCAACAAAAAACCAAGCACCCATACTCGTGCTTCCTCCCCTTTCTGAACATACAATGCAACATGACTCCACGGAACTCAGCCCTAATTAACGAAAACCACAGATGAAACCCAAACCCCAGACCCCAAAACAAAGTCAGACTCAAACCCCTCAGAACAGCACCACACTCCCGGCAGCTCGCCCGCCAGCACAAACGAATCTCAGCACCGCGCGGAGCATTCGAAAGCATTCCTGGCCAAGTTGGCCAGAATGTCTTTACAGAGATTTAGACTAAAGAGGTAAGACTCAGATCTTGGGACTGTGTTACGGAACAGTGCAACAGAAAAGCAGGGGCACTCAAAGTTGGGGGGGGCACTCAGAAATCATTATTTCCTCAAGGGTCTCTCAAACACCGCGGCCGAAAATCCTTTAACCCAATTGGAAAACCACGCAAGCCTGAGCCTTAAAACCTAAACCCTGAACCCCACACAACCCTGGCTTCTTGTGCCTTAACGAAACATCGCCGCATTCTTTTATTTTGGTTTGGGAACATTCAGAATAAAACACGAGCCCTCATCATCAAAGAGAACAGACCTTCGACGCCGAGCAATATACAGAAGACCCATAAGAAAAAATACAATACACTAAAATCTCGTCATCACAAACATTTTCCTCTCTACATGGCATCGTAAGTGCTGAATGAATGGGAATCCTGAGCCTAATGACGTGCTGTTACTTTTTGAAGGTGGTCCCCGTGGACCCCCACCGCAGAGCCCGGAACGTTGAACCAGGGATGTCAAGTCATGTTCAGCTTCAGATTCCGCATTTCACACCGGAATTTACATAGGCTTGCGTAGTAGGGGTCTTGATCACGTCTGTCCTGTTTGGACAGATTCAGATAGGGGAAACCCGCTGAGGAACCTACCTTAACCCGTCTATGCTTCCTGTGTTCGGGTATCTCTGAACAGAAGAAGGCAGTGCAGTGGGTCCCAAACCCATCTTTTTAAACGGCTTCATGCGGTGCCCCAGCAGGCGAATTCTAGTGTCCATTAGGTAAGGCAGCACACACTGCTACTATGTCTCGAACTCGGGTATTTACAAGTTACCTTCCAGATTACCAACGGCCATGAAGATGGTTTTGGAAGGATCAAGCCTAAAAACCCAGCTCCCTGAGCCCTGAACCCCAAAACTTATTAGGGTTTAGGGTTTAGGGTTTGGTTGAAACCTCCTGGTGTGGAAGGAGAACTCTTCCCAAGCCCTGCTGTTTAGGCTCACACACACCACAACAGTCTGCCCTAAACCGCAACTCTGAACCCCCAAAACCATAAACCCTAGAGGCCCTGTATTGAATAACCCTAAGAGATCCTACAGAGTCTGTCCGCTGCTTTGTTTCGTTTGTTGCTGTACCAGTAAACTTATCACTACTATTCCTGAGTATACCTACTGTTACTATTACACTGTAACTATTACACTTACTATTACCTATACTGAACTTAGACCCCTAGCAAAAATTTGGATTTTGGCTGCTTCTTAGGGCTTATAGTAGCCAAAGATTAAAAGATATTTCTAAGTACCCCTAAGTTACTATCACTAATTATAACTATTGCTGCTCTTATCGTTCCTATTGCTTTGACAAATCTGCGGCCTGAAAGCGGGTGAGGGAGCCGCAAACAAATTGGGCCTCAGGGTCCTGCGAGGCAGCGTGTGGTTTTTCAGGGGTTTGGGGTCTTTGGGGGTTTAAGGGTTAGGGGTTCAGGGGTTTGGGGGTTCACGGCTTATGTTTTTTTTGTTTTTTTATGGTTTCGGGTTTGGGATTTTTTGGGGATTAAGGGTTTCGAGCTGGTCTAGAGGCATAGGAGTTTAGGGGTTGAGGGGTTTCGGGCGTAAGGGTTTTGTGCCTTAGTGTTTAAGGTTTTTGGGGCTCAAGGGTTTAAGGGTTTCAGCACTTAGAACTGGAACAAGCCGGGCGAGGTATGTCTGATACAGGCGACGAAAGCTCATTGGCCAATGGTTTAGGATCTTTGAGGTGTAGGGGTTCTGGGTTTAGGGGTTTTATGGTTTAGGGTTTAAGTTTTTTTTGAGTTAAGGGGTTTAGGGTGAATTGGGGTTTAAGGGTTTAGGGTTTTTGGGGTGTAGGGGTTCAAGGCTTAGGGGTTTTATGGTTTAGGGTTTTTTTGATTAGGGTTTTTGGAGGTTTACAGGGCTCAGGGTGTTTAGGGTATATAGGGGCTCTAGGCTCATATTATACCACCCGAGCCCAAGCACATTGGCCAGCATCCCACAAAGCTAAACCCGAACGAGAGGGATTATCCCAGATACCTTGAATACCCCGGCCCCCTCGAACAGCTTCCCACAGGAGTGGAAACAGGTTTACACTCAAGTCTCAGTTCGACTACTCACGGTGCGAAGGCAACTACCGGCTCCAGGAACAGCGAATCTACTCCAACGAAAAGCTACAGCAACGATCCACCCGAGCCCAGGCACACTGAGCAAAAGCCAAACGAGAGTGACGACCTATCAACCATAGAAGGACGCTGCAGTCACACTGTATCGGCGCCCGGCTTCTTGATCCCACGATGCAAGCAGCTTTACACTAAGTCAAGGGTCTCAGGCGCAATGTTAGATGGCGGGGAGCCATGCGAGACTCCGCCAAAGGCCGCATCCGCAACAGGTCTCACGCATCTGAGTCTACAAAAGTTGAGCCAATCTCAAGGGCACAGGCTGTTCGGCCAGGCTTTCCTGGTCGTAAAGAAAAAGAGCTTCGACAAACATCACAACGAGCGGTGGCTGTAATCCGACATTTCTTTAACACGGGCTGCGAGATCACATCAGTGTGTGTGTGTGTGCGTGGCCGCATCTCGTGTGTCTGTGCACGTGTGCCTTTTCATAGTTGCAGCACCACTGCTGCAATGTATCGAGGCAAGAATTCGATGTTTGCAATCTGTACATCTGCCACGTAGGCGCACGGCTCTGTACTTCCGAATTGGGCAGGAACGCCCCTTAACGTTCCCTGCCACATGCAGTCTCCCAGAAACTTCTCTGCAGGCATCACCAATACACAATGTGCACATCTGCGCTTTTGTGGTCCAGCAGCTGACTGCGCCGCTCAAGCTGCACCGTGCTCAGACAATACCAGAAGGTGGCCACGATCTTCGTCAGCCAAACCTGTATGAAAGCAAAGAATACAGCTCCTAGCCAGAAGCTGTAAATTGCACAGGCTATCTGGCTGGCGGTGTGCAGACAGCTGAACCCGAGATACACAGTCACAAGGCCAAGCCTAAGGTATCTTGCACCGATGAAGCCACAGATGGGGCCAAACGTGAAAATCACTCCTGCAACGACCACTGGCCAGGAGCCCCAACTAGGATCCCAAAGGAATCTGTCCCTGTCCATGATTGCGGTTACAATGTTCAGCACGATGGTCAGAAGGTTGATGAAGGCAAAGCACATGACAGCCACTCGGTAGTTTAAGACGACAAGCTCGTCCGGATGCAGTGCGAAGACAGCTGGGGCTGCGAGCTGGGGTGCGCCCACAACGCCGGGACTTGGGCCAACGACTGGGATACCCTGCACAACTGGCATCTCCCCTCGCTCAGCTTGGTTGAGGTCACCCGTCGGCTTGTTCAGGTCACTTCCGCCCATGGCTGTCATCATGGACTTCTTCAGCAGTGGGTTGGGCTACTGCACGGAAATTGTGTGCGCTTTCTGCGGCTTTCGAACGGGGGCCGGAACACGGAAGCAAAGGAGCACCGATCAAGCAATTGATGTGCAGATTCGTCCATCCTACTCTTCTACCTATAGTCTCCATTGTAGTTCCTTTTTTTGGTTTAACCAAATATATACTCTCTGAGCAACAAACGAAGAACCGGAGAGAAGGTCTGTCATGGCGGGTTCCATGTTAAGTTTGAAGATCATGTTTCTGGGTTCTCCTCGCCGTCGCTGCAGGATCAACATATGTTGTTGCGAGGTTCCATGTTAAGTTTGAAGATCATGTTTCTGGGTTCTCCTCGCCGTCGCTGCAGGATCAACATATGTTGTTGCGAGGTTCCATGTTGATCTTATGGCTTATTCATGTCTGGTTTCATGTTAAGTTTCAAGATTTTGTTCTGGGTTCCGTTTTGTTGGCAGGGTTCACGCCATTGGGGCTCAGCTGAAACTTGACAACTGCAGTTTGGACTGTAAACATTCAAAGCTGTCAATTCCTCATTGCTATATACTTCATTCGCCACACATCCTAGCACTTGTGGTATTGTGCGTGAGCGGGGGCTAGGGTGCACGGCTGGGGCTTGATGCACTCTGACCCGCACGATGGCGGCGGCAGAAGCCCGCACCCGCATCTGGAAGAAGAGTCCGCCGAAGAAGGACGGGCGTCGTTTTAGGGGGTCCACAGGATCAATTCGGATTTGGGTTTGTTGTGGAGTTTTGTAGACTCCCCTTGGGCCCCCACTGCCTGGTACCCCGCTGTGATAAGCGGTTTGTTGTTGTCTGGATCTGGTTGCCGGAAAAGCTAATTCGCTCGTGTGGTAGTCGGTTTTCCCGTCTGGTTACAGACGGGTAGTGTTAGGCTTAGGGTTCCCTGTCTGGTTACAGACAGGTTACTGTAGGGCTTGTTAGGGTTCCCCTAAATCCTAAACCCTAAACCCTAAACCCTAAACCTTTTGAAATCAGGCAATGCCTCCTTCGAAGATTCGTGTCGCGACAATAAGAAATTTCAATGCCAAGATGAATCCTTTCGGAGTTGCATTCGTGCTGCTATGAAATCATGATGCAGAAGTTTCGTCTTAATGAGCTGCAATTGATTTCGCCGCGCCAGCAGTGTTTGGGCACCAGTCAGCCGCCCCTTGAAATGAGGTAACGTCTCGTTGCAAGCTTCGTCTGTCATCCTCATCACGTGAAGCGCCTAGATAATTAGGAGTTACTGTACCGTACATTGCGCTGCACAGCGGAGTAGAGCAGCATCACTGCAGGAGCTTGCGACCGGCTATGCAGTCCTGCAGGATGGACAGCTTTGCATTGCTGGAGCTTGAATTGCAATAAGACTTAGTGCTAAGAATAGGTTACCAGGTTCCATGTTTGTTTTCATTTCGAAAGTGTAGTAGAGCCTAATGACACCAGTAACTTTCTGGGTTCCATGCTAGTTTGTGGTTCCCTCTCTTGCCTTGGGCAGGGTCTCTCCCGCTCACCCAGGATGGCCGGCGACCCGCAGGCGCAGGAGTCTGGTGACCGAAGAGCACCGGAAGCAGACCATCGTGGAGGCGACTGGCTGGGCGAGCACCGAATCTTGTCATGAACTGTTGGTTTTGGTTTGCGTCGGGTTTATACACGACGGCTGGGGTGTGGGGTGGTCTCAAAGCTGGAGTAGGCACTTGCTGATGCAGACCACAGGCCATCGCTGTGGCTACCGGGTTCGCTGCGGAGCGACGACCGGTGTTGATGAACTCCGGTGCCCAGCTCCTCATGACGACGAACTTCACTGGGCTCCTCCGTCGAATTACAGAACTGTACTGTAACAAAGAGCCGGGGAAATGCGGGATCACCCGCACGCACCCTTGCACATGACATGCGCAATTGAGCCAACAGCTTTCTGTCGTGGCCAGCAGCGCGGGCTCCTGCTGCAGTTGTTTAGATTCGATCGCGGGTACTTTTTCCGGAACCCTTCCCTCACCCAAAAACAAACATGGAATCCTGCAACAACTACACCCTGGCTGCCATGGCTCCACGGCTGCTGCCGGGGCAAGGCGTGCGTGCTCGCTTGGAAGTGGTTGACACCAAGCTGGATGGCGTGCTTCAGGTGTTTGGGGAGGACCCTGAGGGCAACAGCGACGGTAGCATTGCGGGCGACTTCAACCACCTGGAAGCCAAGGCGTGTGTCAATAACATTGCCCTATCCGGCTTGGATCGTGGGCTACAGGATATATAGTTCTATGTTGAATTCGTATGGTCCTGTTTCTGCAACCCATGACATTTGCCCTTTTCCGGCTTGGATCATGGGATATCATACGTCTAGTTCCATGTTAAATTCATGTTTTCCTGCATCTGCAACCTATGAGGTGGGCAAGCTCGCGGATGCAGTGCGTGCCTTGCTGGATGCGGGGCGAGAAAGCTCCCGCGTACCAAGACGTCTGCTAGTGTATCCAGGGATGAACTTTCCCACGGGGCAAGGCGTGCGTGCTCGCTTAGAAGTGCTGGGCAACAAGCTGGATGGCGTGCTTCAGCTGATGGGGGAGTTCCATTCGGGCAACAGCGACGGTAGCACTGCTGGCAACTTCAGCAGACTGGAAGCCAAGGCATGTGGGTTCAATAACATTGCACTTACTGTATTCGGCTTGGATTGTGGGTCTCGTGCTGTGTAGTTCCATGTTGAATTCGTGTTTGTCCTGCGTTTGACCCTATGAGGTGGACCAGCTCGCGAATGCCGTGCGTGCGTTGCTAGATGCAGGGACAGGACGAGAAAGCTCCCGCACACCAAGACGTCTGCCAGTGCCGCCGCCTCCAATGGCGGGCTTTCGAAATAAGGCCTAATCCCATCGTGCAAAGCTGCACTGCGTTTTTGTTGAACTTGTGCGCTCTTCGTGTGCGCTGTGACTGAGAAAAAAGCCGCAACGTGGGGCAGTGGTCGTGGTCCTTATTAGGTGATTGATACCTTGGGCAACAAGGAGCTTGCGAGCTTTGCTAAGAGCCAAATTTGCTACACGTGAAGTGTCCTTGGATTCGCCCGTTCCAGACTCATACCAAGCTTACTGTACCCAAGCTTCTTCCTCACGTTTGATCGGGTGCTGTAGGTGTCTTGAACTTGGCTTTGTCGTTGCCGCACAAAAAGGAGCTCTCAAGAGGAACCCTTTCATACAGTACATAAGCGGATGCACATTCGAGGATCGATGCGAGCTCCCGGGCGGCGGACATCTTGCAGAACAACAACTGCGGGGTGCGATTCCAGGGATGCAGCTGCTGCGACGTCGACCGAGCGGTGCAGGCTGGGCTTCTTCGCGATCCCTTTTATGGGCATCGCTGTGTCTTCACCGATGTCACTTGGCTATGTTCTACTGTAGGGGTTCTGTGCTGTTAGGTTTACTGTGCTGAGTGTCAGGCTTCGGATGTCCTTCCCCCAATCTTTTCTTCCCGCCCGCCCGAGACCTTTCAGAGGTCATGGACCAGCTGGACTCCGAGACCAAGAAGGCCGTTGTGAACGCGAAGGACACCAGTGCCATTCTTGACGAGCTCCAGAAGGGTCGGTTCCTGGCCAGCGCGAGGTGTTTGCGGCACGAGCGCACGTGCCCCTTGCCACAGCGCGTCGACCTGGTAGCTCATCCTTTTAATTCATCCGGGGTTCTATGTTAGTTTTTTTTCGGACGAATGGAGGAGGTTGCAGGTGTTGGCTGTGGAAGTGACTTGTGGGGTTAAGGGTTCCATGTTGTTTCTTCACAGTCTTGGAGATCACAAGGACATGAGCGGTCCGTCTTGCAAAGACGATTCCCGACAGGGAGCAAATCGGCAAGACGAAGGTCCGGGTCGTAAAAGCTTGTTGACGCACATCTACGCGCAGCTGGAGAGGAAGACAGGCATATTTATCATCGAGAACGTGGTCACGGGAACCATCCATCAGGTGGCGGCCGCTGCTGCCGTGAGCACCGACGAGGTGTGGGTGAAGATGATCCACGCAGACACCTACGAGAGTGGCTACGGTGCTTGCAGGCGACAGCGTGGCTGGTGCCGTCGCTGATATTGTAGACAATGTTTTTGTGCTGTATGTTAAGTATAGCTCTAAAGTGCGGCACTGTACTGTATACACTGTATACCTTTGCTTCCCGTGACTGCTTGGCTCCCTGATTCCTCCTCAGCTCCGGTCGTCTGCTCAACGAGGATGGTGTTCCTACGCAAGGACAGGGGCGAGTTCGTGGGCGATCCTCAAGAGGCTTACGACCTGATGGCCAAGTCCACCAGCACGGCGCAGGTCCACATCCCGGAGCTCTTCTGGCAGACGGACGAGGCTCGACTGCGCAAGGAACGCGAGTCCAGGGCGACAAAGAATCGCACCGTCAGCGACAACTGGGAGCGGCTTGTCTCAGTGGGTGGTTGGCAATTCGCAAATTCCATGTTTGTTTGTATGCCTGGCTTGTTGGGATCTACTGTCAATGTGAACCTGGGGTCCGAGTTCCATGTTAGTTTTCTATTGGACCCGCAGGGACATGCTGACGCCGATGGAGAGGACGAACCTTCAGGATGGCTTCAAACTTTTGGATGCCACGGACCTGCCACAAGACCTGCATGTCGTGGTGCCGAACCAAAAGAAGGACAGGGCCAAGATCACGAGCCCCATGGGTTGCTTACCGACATACACGACTGTGGACCAGTTGTGGCATCGTGGGAAGCAGAGATGGCTTTCGGCGGAGGAGAAGTTAGCTTCAATGGGGTTTCCAATCGGGCCAGATGTGGCGAAGGCCTACAACGTGGAGCCCCGGCTGGGTCTGGTTGCAAAGCAACTGTCCCGCGCTGTAAACTGCACCGGACCAAACCCGAACCACAAAACCTACTGTAAAACCTAAACCCTAAATCCTGTTATGCTATGTAGGGCTATGCTATACTTTACTTTGCTGGTAATGTATTTATAAGCCCTACACTCCGAATGCCTCACCAACCCCAAAACCCTAAACCCT